CTGAGCAATTCGTCTGCAATAAGAATTATAAAATACAGAATATTATTTAAGCTCAAAAGTCCATTAAGCAAACCAAAATTGGAGTAGAGCAAACAATTTTTGCTTTATATGAATACAAAAATAGATCTACTAATAAAGGGGCGCAAATCGTACCCATGGGATTTCGAATAGATTGTTGGAAGACTTGGTCTCAAAAAACATAAAAGATACTGTCAATCAAAAACTCAGCCATCTTTTTGGTGTCTACTTCAGAGTACTTGTGTGCGTAATCAGAATGTTTTAACGAAATAACTTTGCGAATGACCAGTGACAAGGTAAGTAAATTCACGGGTACCATTTTAAATGCAAAAACAGCAGTCTAAAGCATGTTTCTTATAAAATTAACAATAACCAAACTTTATTAGCACTAACAAAATACAATGTAATCCTATGCTTCATTTTCTTTCTCAATATTCTCAATATTTTTCTTTAAATTTTACTTTCATTAGTTACATGAATGATATGGAGATAAGGAACAATATTCAATCTCAAAGACCATAAAACAATACAAAATAGGAGCAGTGCAAACACGGACTTTCGAAACATCAGAGTGCCATGGAGGAGTGAACATCATGAAGAAAGGTATATTTGTGAAGCATTATTTAGGAAGAACAGAGAATATTCTTATTTTAATGCCATATTTATATTATCTATTTATTAAAAAGAGTCCTTTTTACTAAAGTACTTTATTCGGTAATAACCGATATTTGCCCCCCAAACCAAACTTTGATGAAGAAATATTTAATTATGTTCTTAAATAGGGGAGTATATGCTGACTTCAACGCACTGAATATTTTCATAAGTTATGACGTTATATGTACGAAATGACGTCACAAACATGACGTAAATTTCAGTTTTTTATGAATTCTACAGAAAAAATGTACATATTTCGTCGATATTTTGAGTAAAAGTCACCGAGCGCATGTGTGTTCAGGCTCAATATTTTGATATAATGTGCAGAATGATAAAATCAATGAAATATGTAAATATTGTTTCTGAACAAACTTGCGCTCTATAAATTTTAAAGCTAAAATTGTTTGAATTTTGTCCATTCTGTCCTCTTTCTGAAAAAAGGATATAAAATCGGACTAGTTTATGACGTCATAAAAACAAAAATTGTGATTAAACTACTTTGAAACAATAATATGTTCTGTTAATTATATTTCACATACAATTTTTAAAATTCAGCACATTTCAGGAAGTTTTCAAAATTTAACTTTTGTGGGGGGCAAGTATATGCAATATACCGCATATAGTTCTTTGTTTTAAAACAATAAAAAACAAATATTGATTGTTTTTTATGAATATAGCAGTTGATCCAAATACTACTTTACAGGATTTGATCCGATGTATTCTTTATAAGGCCGTTCTATATATATGTCGTACATGTGCACTGTGATACAAATATACATGCTTTGTGAACTTAGGTCTGTGAGAGGTCTATGCTAGAGAATACAAATCATTTGTCAAACTTCAGTCTAGGAAATTCACTCCACCTTCACTCTTAATTTGCCTCCCATAAAATACATTTAAAAGATTCAGCTTAAGATTTAAGATTGAAGAAGTATACTAGAAATACTTATAAGTCTGAGAAATATAAGAAAACTTTTTTTTCAGATTTTTGATATTCCTTCGTTAAGATCAATTTTGAATGGCTGTGACTCTTAAATTTCCACATAAAAAGATATTTAAACTTTTGTCTTAAAATAACAACAAATTATTCTATCTTTTCACTTAATTTCATTTAAATGATTTTAAGTATTAAAAAGGGAGAAACTTCAATGACAGGTGAAAGTTATTAAATAGGACACATTCCCTTGAGAATTACATTTAAATATACGGAGTACATACCTTTTACATACCTGTTATGCATTAACTATCATTATATATGGGGCCAATAGTGGGTGGAATAGCTATTTATCAATATATTTTAAAATAAATGCTACAGTTGTAATGACGCAGCTAAACATTTGTGTATTATAAATCAGAACAATGGATTAGTACCTATTACAGTACAGAAAATGTTACAGCTAAAACATAGTATACTTCCACAACTTTTCGTAAAGTAGTAGCAATCTTTACAGAGGTTATACAACAAAACTTACTTAGTAAATAGTTTCAATAGATAATTAAAAATCTTAAAATACTTTTATCATTGCAATGTCAATGGTTTTTAAGAAAAGTGTAATTCAAGTTTGATTAGAAATCGTTAAGAATATGCAAAAAATGTTAATAATGTAATTGGAAAATTGAAAACAAATAACCTAAACTGAAAACTTTATTTTTTAATTCATTTTTCAAATGTTATTTAAAAATTATGTGCAACAAAACGAAATTGCAAGTTTGATGTAGTCTACCCATGTCTAATTTTGTTTTTCAAAATCAACATATTCAATGACAGAATATTAACATGTTGAAATATCAAAACAGTGTAAAGAAATCTTCTGCAGAATCCACTTCTATAAGAAATGATTTACTTCGGAATCAAAAACTATCAGAAAAAGAGCCCCACTTTCATCGTTCTAGAGGCAAACGTATTTGTTAGATTTCATTCGAATCAAGCAGCCAACTCAAGTGTCTACCAAATCCTCTCCCTGGATCATATGTGTATTTGTTTTGATTAAAGCAGAACACGATTCGTAAAAGATGTGTGTCCGCCATTTTTGTTCCCGAGTCTCGCTACTCTGCAAACCCATATATAAAGGCCAGGACTTAGTCACAGTTCAGTGTAATCAGTCGACACCGGTGTGGACGTACGTATGTACAGCATTCGGTAGCAAGAATAATAACGTAATACTTCGTCTATTGCAGGAAAGTAATATACCAAATAATATAGCAAACATATTTTTAACACGCTGTAAAGTCCATTATGTATTAATTGAAATATTTAGATGCATATATGTTTGGATTAATCCTAACACATTCAGGCAAACATGTGCTCATTTCACACTTATCTAAAACAGAGTCAATGGCTAGATTTTGATAAAAAAAAAACCCGGCAAACATCGATAATAAATCTTTACTCTACGATTTGCACAGATTTCAGCAGAATCACTCTTTAAAGCACAATAATTATTTTACTTTAATTTTGTGTGTGTCATATGCTAACAAGGCTTTATGTGTAACATTATTTAAAGAATTCCGTCCCTAGTAATAAACTACAAATTTGAGCCGTTTGTCGTAAATCATTGAAGTGCAGCATTCACGTATTAAATACCTAGATGAAACCAGAAACTGACAGTTGTTTGACAGAAGAGCATGCATATGGATCGTGTGATATAAAATATCAATTGTTTAGCTTTACTTTGGCAGGGAAAAGAACGATTTTCTTTACCTGTATTCAGGTAATAATTATGGATTTATTTTTTAAAATTATATATTTGTTGTTACAATTCATTCTAATATTTCTATATTAAACTTAAGTAAGGCATTCGCTTTTTCCTCGCTTGTAATATTGTTTCAATTATGTGCTGAGCTATTTCATTTAATTTTCGTTTTTTTCATCTTTATTTTGAGATCTAAATTGTAAGAGTATTGCTTAAATCAGTCATTATATTAAATAGGTATTTTAAGGACAGATGATACAAACAATTTTTTCTTTTAAAAAGATTAAATATCATGTCACAAGTTTAGAAAAGTGGATGGTTCTTAGAATTTTTTCTCCGAAGAACTGGAAAATGAAATAGATTTGGAAAATATTAGTAATATTTCAATAAAAAAACGAATATAGACAAATCACATTCAGTAAAGGTTTACAGGTGAAAATAAATTTTAGAATATGTTATCCTGGCGCTAAAAGTGTAATATAAACCTTAGAAAAATATAAAAATATACCAAGCCAGGTGAATTTTAAGAGAAAGATCGAAATGACAAAAAATTTTATCATTTAGCTTTTCCTAATAAAATTCACCTGGCTCGCTATATTTTTCTTAAGTTTATGTTACACTTTTAGTCTTTTTCATATTCCAGTTCTTTGGAGAAAAAATTCTAAGAACAATCCACTTTTCTAAACTTGTGACATGATATTTAATCTTTTTCAAAGAAAAAATTGTTTGTGTCATCTGTCCTTAAGTGTGTTACATTTTTGAAATATTCTTTCATATCTAATTATAGCATTTGGCCAAGGAAGAGTCATGAACGCGTTCCAATAATTTTTTCCAATGATTTTGAAACTTTACATTACAGAGTCTCTAAATTCGGAAATGAACCCCAGTACAAGTGCCCAGGATTTAATACGATGTGACCAGTGTGAGACTGCTATAGTACAAATGTACTGTGATCTATGTCACGTTAATCTCTGCAAGGCCTGTGTTGGTGAACACATTTCAACTGATGAAACCAAAAAACACGAAGTTGTCAAATTTAAGTCAAGAAATTCTACTCTTCTCTACCCTAGATGTGAATCACATGAAAAGGAAAGATGTATGAATTATTGTAAAAAGTGTGAAATCTCTGTCTGTCCCACTTGCGTCAATAAACATCGCAATCATAAGATATTAAATATATTGGATGTTCAAGAGGAAACAAAAATCATGATAGAGAAAGAGCGAACTGAATTAAAAGAAACAATCTATCCTACTTACCAGGAAATTTTTTCAGACCTAGAAACGATTCAAAGTGAATTGGAAAAGGAAGCTGAGGATCTTTTAACAGCCATAACAAAACATGGAGATTACTGGCACTCAGTAATCGACAAACTTGTCGATAGACTAAAAACTGATGTTAGAAAACTGAAAGACACAAAGACAGATATATTACAAAGAAAAAAGGATGAAATTAACATGATTATTGTTAATGTAAGAAATGACATTGATTTGTTTGATAAAACTATCGACTCGAACGACATTTCAGAAACTTTAAGTGTGAAATTAAAAGATCATTATAAAAAACTTCCACCAAAACTAATTTTTTGTAAATCTAAATTCACACCAGCTGAAATTCAAGAGGGGAGCATTTTAAAAATGTTCGGAAGTTTAACAGCACATGGTTTCAAAACAGAGAAGAATGGCTACCGAATGAAAACCATACAAGGATCACCCCAGGATGAATCCATTCAAGTTATCCCAATTAAATCTTCAGAAGAAAGTTCCTTTTCTGATTCCTCTCCAGTTTCCAAGAAAGCACAAAAAACTGAACGCCTTTTCCCCACCAATCAGCATTTACCAGCAATTGATAACCTTTCTTTAACTGAAGAGAGGGCACCACAAGTTCGATATCGACCTCCAGTCCCTAGAAAACCAATTTTCTCTCGTTTGGTCAAACGAAAACCACCAGAATCTGGTTCCCGTACTCAAGTCCCTTTGAAATCAACAGGCTGCAGATTAGGTCATACAGCCTATAACGAATTAGTTGAAAATGTACATCATTATTCAGACAAAAAACTGCATAATGAACCGGATATTTTGAGCACAGAAATTATTTATGGTAAGAATATTATAAATATTGCCTTTCTGGGCAATGAAAAGATATGGCTATGTAAAGGTGAAACTATCATGAAACTGTATAGCATTAATAAAAGTTTTTCGCTGGAGTCGATTACAACCAAGTCGGAAAACATCCCAACAGACATAGCGGTGACAGAAAGTGGAAATCTCATGTATACTGATAAGGGGGATGGAACCGTTAATATTGTGAAAGAAGGAAAAACTCAAGAGTTGATCAGATTACAGAACTGGAGACCTATGAGCTTATCCAGCACTTCTAAAGATGATATTCTGGTTACCATGGAAAATGATGATAACAAACAATCAAAAGTTGTCCGATACTCTGGTTACTTAGAAAAACAATCAATTCAGTTTGATGACGATGGTAACCAACTCTTTAACTTTGGTGGATCTCAAAACTTCATATGTGAGAACAAAAACCTTGATATCTGTGTGGCTGACTGTGGAGTTCAAGCAGTAGTGGTTGTCAATCAAACCGGGAAATTCAGATTCAGATACACTGGACACGCTCCTGCTCCAAAGAATAAACCATTCAATCCGGCAGGAATCACAACAGACAGTCAAGGCCACATCCTTACAGCTGATTATGATAATTATTGTGTCCATATTATTGACAAGGATGGACGGTTCATACATTTTATAAAGTTTGAACATTTTCAACCTTATAGATTGTGCACAGATAGAGATGACAATCTTTTTGTTGCTGTCGCAGATTTGAAATCGTGGCCTCCAGGCAGTGTGAAGAAAATCAGATACCTGTACTGAAGTTAATTACTTTTTATTGGTCATTTCCGTAGATATTTTGTTAAAAGCAGAGTTTTTCCAAGGTTGCAATAGAAAACCGGAAAAAAATAGTTACTTAGAAAATGTTTTGAAAGTTGTGCTCTTTAGGCTTGCTGTTTTTATTAATATTGTTCAAATAACGATATTTGGTTTATTTCTTCCTTATTTATGACACATACCTTGTTCTTGTATTCTAATTAATATGCATATATCAATAATAAATGTTTGATTATATGTTCTCAAGTAACCGTCTCAAATGCGATGAACCATTACGCTATAATGCAAAAAGACCATTTTTGTACATCAAAAAATGTTTGCAACATTCTTGCGTTAACCTAACGGTGGTGGATACAAATTTGGACATATGTTAGGAAGGATTCTTCTTTGGGTTTCTAACTGGATGAGATATTGAATGTATATTTGCTTATATCTCTTAAATATTTAGATGTAAGAAATTTAAAAGATGATATTTTTCTTTTCTCATCACAATCGCACAATTTCAAATAGATATGTTAAACTGAGTTTTAAATCTAACAGGAACTAAATTTTTGGTAAATGGTGGCGTATGAAAATATCTTCTCCTCCGATACTCAGTCAAAATTATTGTAGAACAATGAAATAAGTAATTTTTACACAATCAAAGACTTGAAGTATTTAATGAGCCCGGATCAATAGATCCGAGGCGCATATTGTTTTGTCCTGTCTATTTGTTTGTTTATCTCTTTGTGTGTTTGTCTGTTGTCAGCTTTAACATGAGAGATAAAGACTTCATATTTGGTATGCATACTCCACTCATTAAGTTATTTCAAATGACAATGACCCTGTGTCCTTGATGCTAAAAATCGTTTTTTTTTCAAACTTTGTTGCTGCTGGGTGCATAATGTTTTACAAACACATCTTGTTTTTATGACCTTGTGACCTTGACCGTAACCTATATATGCTGAAATAGCTTTTTCAAACTTTTGCAATAACTTTTGAACCATGTGAGATAGAGACTTTAAGTTTAGTATGAATACTTCACTAATTAACAAGACCGAGTCTAAATCGAGTGTGCATGGCTTTTACGCAGCCTTTTAATTTCACGCAGTCATAAGTGGGACAGTAGACCTTTTCTAAACATAAAATTAACATTATCTGAAACGCCTACTGGTCTGAAAATTTGATTTTACGACAATAGTAGGAAAAACACTCAAATGGCTCTAGAGACGTAATGTAACTGTTTTCCGATTTTGTAAGCAATGCATGATGCTGGAGAATGGCATATGGCTCGCTTATATATTGGTATACGTTCATGTATATTTTACTAAAAACTGATGACAGAGCATCAAAAAATAGCAGCTTTCTAAATGTTGCTATTTTTACCAAAAATATCTGCGCCGATAATTCATCTGCACCAATATGTATTTAAACCACTAAATGGCAATTTTAGAAGTCTTTGGCATCGAAAAATTAATTTTTGTAATTAAGACCCCGTCCAATCTAGATGGTCAACTTTTTTGAAATTTCACATTTTGATGACTTTTTACAATAACTTTCATCTTGAAGAAGAAATCTCTAGGAAAGAAATATAAAAAAATATGGGGGAAATGTGATAATTTGGCGCTTTTCTACCAAATTCCCATAGAGTCCAACTATAGAATAAAATTACAACTTTTGCAATGACTCCCAAAGAAATCGGGGTGATAAACATCCGATTTTTTAAAATCTGAAAACAATTCATATGGCAGTAAAAATTAATTAACGAAAAATTTCAAAATCCCTAGGGTTAAAATAACTAGACTCAGCCTCGTTAACCTCTTTCAAATAACACCATGGTCGATGACCTTGAGACTTTGACTGTGACCTATATGCTTAAATAGCTTTTTGGAACTATCGCCATGACTTTTGAGCCATAAAAGATAGAGACTTCATATTTGGTGTGCAGACTCCACTAATTAAATTCTTTAACATGACACCGAGGTCAATGATCTTTTAACATTGACTGTGACCTATATGCTAAAAATATCTTTTTTTGAACTTTGTTGACATCAGGCGCATTGTAGTCCACAATTAGGGAATCAAACAAAAGTTTCTCTTATACCCAAACTAGATTCAGTGATGTTCAAATAAAGTATTGAATTTACTTTTTACTTTAGGAAACTACATATATTTGATAAGATATAAGATGATAATGTACTTAGTTAAATTGTTTGAAGCATAAGGATCTATAGAGGGACAAAACTTCTTCTAGTGTTGAAACTTATAAAAAGAGTGCCTGTGTTAGGCAGAACTGCTTTGAAAATATTCTTTACCAAAATCGTCAAAAGAAAAATGTCAAATGCAGATACGTTGTGAATTAATTGAATATTTAAATTCATATTCAGCAACATGTAGTGTAATGTTCAAAATGTAATAAAACATATGCAGATAACGAAAAGTACTCAAGATTAAAAGTCCATAAAACAGTACAAAATAGGAATAAACACGGACCCCCGAACCATCAGATGTGGGTTCAGGAGCCAGTTTGATAATATTAAGTGGTGTGTAGTAAATCGTAAACTTTATTCAGAAACTGAATATTTTTTACAAGTATATTACTGGTTAACATTTTCATGTTTACTGGTTTATAATCAGTTTGGGATTATACTGATGATTTCCAGATTTTCTTATTAGGTCTAAGAGAGGTAGACTTGCATATGAATTAGTTAATACTGGACAAACAGGTTTTATACATTGTAATAATATAAACTCGCCTATACGTCGATGGTTTTGGAAGTTGAATTTTGGATTAAAAACCATTGTCCAACTTATATTGGAGCTTTAAAGAAACTGAGGTTTTAGAGGGTCAATCCATCTGATTATAGCTGAAAAAAAAAACAACATACTTCCTAAGTTTCGAAAATGAAACAAGTTAAAGGGTAAAAGGTTTAGTAATTATTGTTGTGACTAAACATTCACTTTCTGTTTATTCCAAAACCCCTATAATCTTCAGGGCATGTAGGTTTGGAGGCCGTCATGAAGAAATTTGATGTAATTGATTCCTGATACCGGTTCTTTACTCTCATTAACCTTCAGATATATTTTGCAAAAATGTTGCTTTCTAGAAACCACCAGAAATTGGACTATCATCTCCCACCCGAAAGAGATATTGAACAACAAGATCATATATATGTATATTTAAGAAATTGGCATATAAAACTACCTTTGTGCTACTGCAATTCTTTCTTTTTCTCACACCTTTTTTCTCACGCCGTTTTGTTAAGTGCATTTTACTGTAAATTCATTTCGTCGGTTTAAAGCAATGAATTTGATTTTCATAATCTCTTTGAGTGTCAGACAAACATAAATAACTACAATTTCTGATTTTTTTTTTTAAAAGATAATTTTACACGCTGTCGTTTTCACTCATTTTACAAAACATATGGTGACCATTGAGTCGTAAGCTTTTATAATGTCAAATAATTCTTTAAAACAGTGTAAACTACCCCCAAGATGATGCTTATCAAATTTGCCAAGTGTTTTGAAAGTCAATCAAGCATCTTCGGTGATAATTTGTTGAATTTTGGCAAACAGTACATTACTGTTCTAAGTGCTTGTCGTCCATTATTGATGCTCAAGTGTCTGTAAAACAGAGTGGCTGTAGATTCCACATATTTCAGTGAATATTTCTTTGGGATTCCAAACTTTAACAGCATCTTTAATGAAACATTTATTTTCACTCTAATGACTGATTCTTTATCAATCAGTATTAATGCAGTGTCTCGTATACCCATTGTTTCCAAGCTTCTGACAATGAAACTATTTGATTTAAATTCATTAAAGATTCAGTGATGAGAGAAAGTCAAGCTTAATGTCGTATGATTTCTATAATTTTTATCATAGAGTTAGGACATTATGTAGTAAACATTCCTAGTATATTGATTAACACTGATTAAAACCTAATTAGACTCATTAAAATATACTTATATTTTACATCTATTTTTGGGAGGAGTTTGGGCTGGGTAGAAAATTAAGAAGAGGACAGATTCTATTTTTGATACGCACAGCAGTCTGAAGCATGTTTCATACAAAATTTTCTATGACCACACTGTATTAGCAGTTAAAAATATTGCAAAACAAGCCTATGCTTCATTTTCTTTCCCATCATTCCCAGTATTTTTCTTCAAATTTTATTTTCATCAATTACATTAAAAAAGGTATAGTTTTGTAGAATAATTTAGGACGTACAGAAAATATTCTGATTTTAATACCATATTTATAAAATCTATTTGTTAGAAAGATTCCTTTTGAAATCATTTGATTTAAAAAAAAATGAGGAATTATATTTAGTGTTTTCTTCTTTTCATTTCGTATAAGATGATGCACATTTTCGGCTTTATATGAATAAAATATAGGTCTGCTGATAAAGGGGCGCAAATCGTATTCATGGGAACGCAGGCATCTTTAGAAACGTTGAATTTTTTAAGATAGTAATTGATCCAAATACCAGTTTCCAGGATTTGATCCGAGGTATTCTTAACAAGGATGAACAGTGAAACATGTTTTGTCAACGTAGATCTGTGATAATCCTGTGTTAGAGAAAACAAGAATTTTTCTCAAACTTCGGTATAGGAAGTCCACTCCCTTCTACTTTTAATTACTGCCTCCCTTAAAAATGAATTTCAAAGATTCAAACTGGGGATTCAAGCTTTAAAAAGTATTTTAAACAATTTTTTATATATGAGCACGATATTTTTCTCATATTTGACTATTTCTATTTGAAACCGATTTTGAATGGTTTTGTCGCTTTCATTCCCATATGAGAAGATAAACTTTTATCTTAAAATGACATCAAAATGTCACATCTTTTCGTTGAATTTCATAACAATAGATTTTCATCGTTATAAGAGGCAAAACTTCAAGGACATGTGAAAGTCATGAATTAAGACATAATCCCTTGAGAATAACATTTAAATATGCGCAATATATACCTTTTTACATACCTGTCATGCATTCAATGTCAT